TTTTTTTATGGCATAAGCCGGTAAACGAGCAGACGGATCACCTGATGGTAAGCAATCGGCGTCGCCCATGGACACCTGAAACACCAGAGGCGTTACAAGTGCGTTTCCGGCCTTTTGGGGAATTAGGAGTTTGAGGATCGTTGGGGATTCAGGAATTGGGGAGATTGGGGAAGGGGAGGGTAATTGGGCCTCCGGTAACCTCACTCACACGACGAAACACAACGTAAGCGTTGCTTCACGTCGGTTTTTTGTGAGGCCGTGGTATCACTCCTGTCGAGCAGGCCCATTCGTGCCGAAGCATGGCTCTCCCACACTTATATTTCTTTTATGTATATACTTATATTCTATTGGTGAACTCGTATGTACCTAAGTAAAATTTTAAAATCTTTGTTTTTATTTCCAGACCGACAATGATGACATGGGCTGGTGCAGCGTCCAACACGCAGGCGACGCGTTTCCCATTGCGGCCTGTATCAGAAATATCACCACCATACTCCACGGCCATTACCCTCATCGACCAGATCGGATACAAAATAATAAAGACAACAGAACTTGTCACCGATTTACTCAGGAACACCGTTAGAGCTGTCGTTGGTCGGTAGATATCTTTAAAAAAAAATTGCTCAATAATAACATGTCAAGTAGGTATAAAAGGCCTTATTTCCAGTTAAAAAAAGTTTTGACGTAAATCCAGTGTAGAAGTCGGCCATACTGAATTGTCTATAGCCGGTTTTCCCTCCATTTTAATTTCGTGAAAAAACCACCGACCTTTGGTCACGTTTGGCAATTAAAATAGTTTACTTTATTACTTTAACAGCATATTACTGTGAGATTATAATAAATAAGAAATAATTCTACATAAGTTTATTGTATGTAGGAAATTACGAATTAATTAAGGCGTAGGCCTATTGTAATTTGTCATTAATTTTAAGTATTAAATTATTATAATTTAGGTCGATATTACAATTAAGTAAGCTAATTACATATTGTGAATTTGTGATTACGCATTAAGCTTTTATACTGTAAGTCCAACTGTGACTCAATAAATGCTTTTATTTATAACTGCTTGTACCTTTATTGAACCGTAGAAAATTAACATACCTATTTATCGTTGGTGTGGCTTTTAAGGTGGGAAACTTATCATCAAATTACTTCTTCCGCCTTAGATGAGGTGAGAGGCAGTCTCTTACTGACTAAGAACCACCGGTGGCACCGGTACTGCTCGAGGCCTTTGCAATGCTTGCCCTACCCTTTTTTGTGGAAAAAACGGGAAAAGCGCTTCATGGACCTTAGTTTACCTCACAGGGTGTGTTTAAGCTAGACAGATAGAAAACATCACGCCTTTCCCCGATTGGGTAGGCAGAGTTGCACATTACAGAACTTGATGCCACTGTACAATGTAACACCCACTTTTCACTGTTTATGTTATGAGTCCCATGTAATAGGGGGTGAGCCTTTTTTTTTTAAAGGGGGAAAATCATCCAATGACTTCTCCCGCCCGGATGAGGCGAGAGAGAGTGTCAGGCTCTTACCGACTAAAACCACCCCGTTCCTACTCCTACACTTCGACCCGGAGCCCCGGCAACCCGTTAAGTCTTCCGCGGCTCCGTATCGGCATCAGCCCTGTTAGGCCCAATCTGTGGTGGTCTGATGGCTCCTTGAGGCGCGCGCGGAACGCGGATAGGGGGCGAGCCTACACTATCATATACCGGGCACAATTCCTAACTCCGTGCTACTTCTGAGATTTTTTTAAAACCCACAAAAATCTTTGCCCGACCCTGGAATCGAACCTGAGACTCCTTGCCCGGCAGTCGCACTTACTTTCACTCGGCTAACGAGGCAGAAGGTGAGCTTACTGCACGTTGATTACACGGATGGTGCAGTAAAGACCTGCAGACAACACCGTGTCACGGGTTCGATTACCGCACGGTAAAATTTGTCCCTCTACCTTTTGTCGTCAATAATTATTTAATATTTTAGATCAACATTGTATTTAAAATTGTTCTTATTAAGTCTCAAAAAGTGACTGAAAATAGTAGTGCCTGTAAGATTAATGGGACTAAACCTCACGCTAGTGTAGTAGTAAAGGAATTGCTAATGTATTATTAAGGCGCTTATATTACTACAGTCGCTTATTAAGCGGGTATTAATAATAATAACACTTAGACTGCCTCGTTAGCCGAGTGGTCGCAAGTGCGACTGCCGGGCAAGGAGTCTCGGGTTCGATTCCCAGGTCGGGCAATGTATTACTGGGTTTTTAAAAATTCTCAGTAGAAGCACGGAGTCTGGAACAATCTGGCAATAGGCTCATCCCCTATTACATGGGACTGAACATAAATAGTGAAAAGTGGGTGTTACATTGTACAGTGGCATATTGTGCACCCCTTCGATGATAAAAGGCGTGATGTTATGTTATGTAATGTATAATAATTAACATTGCGGTATTATAGTATAAGTACCTACTTATAAGTACTACTTTAATTTACCTGACTACTTAATTTTTACCTAGTTATTTTACTACCTACTTCTTTCTCATATCGCATGAACCTAATTATAAACAATTACCAATTTTTATAGTCGATTAGTATACAATAAACAATACTGACTAGCGTGCAAATTCAAATCGACCACTCAACATTGTAATGTAACTTTTAGTTTATTCGAATTAACTCGTTGAGTACCGTCATTATAGACACAATTATAGAACAATAGGTTGCGGTCACCGGTGACCGCTTGGTGTTTGACAGTTTAAGGTTCATTTTTACCAGTAGATACTATTTTCGATCGATATTACAAATACGGTAGTTAGGTAGGTATTTGTGATAAGATCGTACACGTAAGTAGACACTAACTTTCCAATTGGACTGAGCCTGCGAAGTGAAAGTGCTTAAAAGAACCAAAACTGGATTTGTGTAACAATCTTAAAACTTAAAAGTGTTTTATGTAACTTTAACTTACTTGCACCCATAGGCGATACAAGTAGGCTTAGATACGGCCGAAATCATAGATATAGAGTGTAAACGAAACGCTATCGAAACGCTGACGAAAAGATATTGCTTTTATAATTTTAATCGTTTTAATTTTCTTGTTGTTCATTCAACATCAGCCTGATGAGCAGTTGATTGATTACAATTAATATTACACAAAAGAAACATTTAATTTCATACTTTTATCAAAATAAAACATGTTTTATTACCATCACCTAAAGGCCGGCCACGCACCTGTGACTCCTCTGGTGTTGTGGATGTCCATGGGCGTAGCTGGTCGCTTACCATCAGGTGAACCATATACTCATTTGCCTCGTATTCCATAAAAAAAAAACCTGTCGGTGTTTTTTGGGAGCGTTCAGTTTTCATTCCGTATTCAATCTCAATCAAAGACTATAAGGATTATGAACGGTTATTAATTTCTGCCGAAATATCCGTGTCTAATCCGCACAATTAGGTATATTTTAACAAAATTTTGCGTAGGTTACTTATGAATTTGTACCTAGTTCAGTTATCAGAGGGCTTAATACTAGTTTCTTTTTCGTTTAAAAGTAGTCGTAACGAGTACGCGTTCGGCGCTGTGATTGGCTGGCTCCAACGAACAAACCAATCAGAGGCCTTAGTACAAGTTTGTTCCACGTTTAAAGTAATCGTAACGAGTACGCGTTCGGCACTGTGATTGGTTGCTTCATTGGCGCCGGCCAATCAGTGCGCCGAACGCGTACTCGTTTCGAATACTTTAAACGAAAAAGAAACTCGTACTAAGCCCTCAGTTCTACAACAAAACCCGCATGTGGTGGCTTCCCATTAGAATGACACACAGACGAAATCATTATTACAGCATACATTCAATTACCAACGGGGGATTTCCAAACTCCCGGCAGGTGTTCTCAAGAAACATCTCAGAATTCGAAAATCTTTAATGTATTTGAGACAAGCTGTCGTATATCCACTTATGCTGACTACTTAGTTGCTTACCTATCAGGAATCTAAATGAGCATAATTAGATTGACCTGAACAAAGGTCTCGTAGTCGTAGCCACTGACAATACGATCTCCGGTCACTATAAGCGCGGGCCTGCGGACGGCGAGCATGGGTGGCTCGCCGCCCGACCAGAACCAGACCTGAGCGAGCCATCAGACCACCACGGATGATGCCGATTTTTTTTTTTTGAAGGGGGAAAATCATCGTATGACTGCTCCCGTCTGGGTGAGGCGGAAGGGAGTGTCAGACTCAGATCATCCGTGTCGTCATCAGACGACACGGATGATGCCGATACGGAGCCGCGGAGAACCTAACGGGTTACCGGGACTCCGTCTTGAAGTGCAGGAGTAGGAACAGGGTGGTTATTAGTCAGTAAGAGTCTGACACTCCCACCCGCCTCACCCGGGTGGGAGAAATCATTCGACGTTATAGACACAATTAAAGAACAATAGGTTGCAGTCACCGGTAACCGCTTGGTGTTTGATAGTTTAAAAAAAAGCCACTGACGATGACGACTGTCATTTTGCCACTTTTGATTAAATTTGAAAAAAAAAATGTTTTCCTGTCGTTGATTGTGAAAATTGTACACTATCGTCATCGTCAACAGCCGAAGCCTAGAAAATTGTACGCAAAAATGAAATGACACAGCTAATTGAAAAAATTGCTCATCAAGCAAACTAGATTTGAAAATATTAGCGTAAATGATGTTATCGCACCAATTACCTACCACTTCAAAATGTCTATAAAACAATTCCTACGTAAGCTGATGACGTACGAAACAAAACTAGAATCAAATTAATAAAGAGGATAAATGCTTGGTTTGGCGCCATTATAGGGAATCCCAACTGTATGGGGTTAGTGATTCATTAGAATCTTCGTATTTCTTAGGAAGCTGGGATTTCCCTTGTCCAGGTAATTTTATAAGTCTCCAAATAATCAGGTGCCAAATACATTTCTAGAATAGCCACTGTACTACAGACAAAATACTTCAATTATTTTAAACTAGGTATTTTATATCTCAGTTAAATTCAATATATCATGACCCCAATAAGTCAAAACTTTATTAAATTGTAGTGAAACTGACCTGTATACTAACCTTTATAGGTCAGTCAGATAGCAAAAAGCATAATTGACTAAATTTTCACAGCATCAACCCATCATTAAATTCAATATAACTACTTAGGGACCCATTGCATGTTGAAAATGTTCAATAAGAACTCATTATCAATAACTATGGAGTATAATTTAATGGTAGATAACCTGTTTCAAGTGACCTCCATAATCAGTAATGAGACATTACATCAGACGTAATTAAAAAACAAGTTCAATGCTTCCACATTTAATAATATATGTTTAAATATCACATTGATTATACTCTGATACATTTCACTTGATATACATTACATGCTTAACAACATACATACTCTGAGATTGCTGTCTTTTATTGTCTTATTTACTTTAAAAAGAAATGCAGTAAAAACTTGAAGGTTTACCTTCAACCATGAATAAAAACAATTTGTTACACTTTTTATAAAATGTAGCTAGAAAACAAATGCTTTGCACATTAAGTACTTTAAAATATTAAAATAAAACAATTTACACAACAGATCAATAAGTTATAATTTTTGCTTACAACTACAGTTGAGACAACGGATACTTATATCTAGGTTGGCAAGTTCATTGGACAATCAGCTCAGTGACGTTGTCCTTAGTGACCAGTGCCACCAGGCTACCACTTGGAGGACGTTCATTACCCTTGATCCACTTGTCAAACAGCTCAGCCACATATGTCAGCGGGGTCCATGAGCCAAAGTCAGCCTTCGGCATCCATTTCCTGTTCATCTCAGTGTCCAGGGTCACAGGAAGTATGGCAACAGCCAGTGAGTTCTCCGGCAGACCAGAGTCTTTGGCACCAAGAGATTTAGTGAGTTGATGCACTGCAGCCTTGGCCATTCCATAGCCAATCATGCCAGGTGTACCTTCCAAAGCAGCTTTAGCACCCGTCAGGGCCAACAGTCCTCCTGCAGACAGGTACTTAGCAGCCACAGTGGCTGCAATAGAAGAGCTCCACACAGATTGGCGCCACATTAGATCCGCTTGCTTGCTGAGGTCCTTGGCAGCGTTTCCGCCGGCCCAGCCGCCAGCGACACAAATCACAGCATTCACTTTCTGACCTTGCAGGGCGCTGGCCAGTTCGTTCACAACGTGTTCCTCTTGTTGAACCCACGAAGCGTCTTTCGGCACAGTGATGTTGAAATCAGCTTTTTCATTAGGGTTTAAGTCGATGTTGGCAACCCACCAGTTCGCAGATTTGAAGTGATTAACGCACGCGGCTCCGAGCGCGCCTCGCCCACCGTACACAACGATCCTTCCGCTTGCCATTATTAATACGTCTGAACTGTATCGAGGCGCAGACTCAACTGAACCACTTGACTTGACTGGACGCCGACTGGTAAAAGTTAGCTAGGTATAACTTGCGCGGCGCGGTAACCTCGGCTCTCACTTTTTGTCGCTGGCTTGCCAAAAGACAATAACAAGTGAAGGATATTGTTTAAGCTTATCACGACTACGCCGATTGTTTTTCTAACTATTAAAATTGTATGTTAAGTCCACTTAAAAATAGAAAAATAATCATTTGTAGACAAATATATGAAATAGAAACATATACCTACTACATTCATTTGACAATTGAACTAAAAATGACAAGTGCCAATTTGACTTTGGCATTAATTTGATTGTCAGTCACTTAATATTTACATTTATTAACCTAAACATTGGTCTTTTGCGTCTAAAAAGTACACACATTAAAATGAAATAGATGGCTTGTCGTTTAAAATTTTATTTGTACAGTCGAACTATACAGTTAAATCGACTTATTATCATTAGATACCTCATCGACGACGTCTTATCAATGAGATATAAAAAAAAAGAAAAAAGCCTTCTTGTTATTACTTGGGCTTCGTATTATAAGTAAGAAGTACAACTTCAAACGGAAAAAAAGTAATTTAATTATTAATGAAACATTGGTGAATATTTAATTATTCTAAACTAATCGACAATAGGATCAACTTTTTCTACTTTTGTTTTAGATATGGTCACTTCTGTGTTATAGTTTTTAGTATCAAGCTTGATTAAGCTGCCGCTTGGTGGACAGTCAACGCCTTTAATCCACGATTCTAACAAATCTGGTACAAAACTCAGTGGCGTCCAGGTGCTGAAGTTGGCTTTAGGCATACATTCCCTGTTCACATCTGTATCCAATGTCTTGGGAAGTATTCCCACAGTTATGGAATTCTCTGGCATACCAGAGTCTTTGGCACCAAGAGATCTTGTCAGTTGATGTACTGCAGCCTTGGCCATACCATAGCCAATCGCATCGGGGGTGCTTCCTAAAGCAGCTTTGGCACCAGTCAATGCTAACAGACCTCCTTTACACAGAAACTTAGTAGCAATAGAGGCAGCAATCGAGGAAGGCCACACAGACTGTTTCCACATCAGTTCAGCATTTTCAGTGAATTTTTTTACGGTATTACCACGTCTGTAACCACCTGCTACGCAGAATATAGCATCAAGTTTTTCACCTTTTAGAGCCGTATCCAGCATGGTGATGACGTGTTTTTCTTGCTGAAACCATGACGCATCATGGGGCACAATGATGTTGAAATCAGCTTTAGGATTTGGTTTTAAGTCAATATTTGCTACCCACCAGTTTGCTTGTTTGAAGTGGTTTATGCATACATTCCCTAAAGCGCCTCGCCCTCCGTAAACAATTAACCTTTGGCTAGCCATTTCACTCCACAATGCACAACTCACAACTTGGAACCTGAACGAATATAAGTAATTTATTCCAATGGGTATTTATACTTGTTATCTAAACTTGCGATCTCCAAATAGGATTGTAGTTTCTTTATATTTTACCCCAAAACATCAATTCACTTTTTTAAAAATCATCGACAGTTTTGTAGATTTTCAATAACGATAATTTTATTTTCCATGAATGAATGACCCTAAAATTAAGACTTGACATTATTGGTTATTCAGTCCTTTTTTGCTTTTTACAAAGAGCATACACCTACCATAGATTGTTGGTAGGTTACTATCTCAGAGAAACGGCATAAAATTGAGAAATAGAAACTCCTTTTATAAAGGTTGAGGAAGTTACGAAATCTGATTGCCTCTTCGGTCATAAGTTACAAGCGCCTTTGGGCTCTTGCCAGCAACGGCGACTACCAGTTCAGGATCTCCCGGGTCCTGCAAGTAGGTATTATTGGGTTTTTTCGACGAGGCCAGGAGTTTGAGTGGCCAGTGCCTGGCAATAGCAAAACGTATCTGTCGAAAAGTGAGTGTAGAGCACTATGTACTGCGTGGCGTGACGTCGTTCGTGTTATGTTATCAATTGATTACCAAATTTCCGTTGTTTTAAAAATGCAAGGATGAAGAATAAAAGAATATTTTTTGTATTTATCTTTTATTGAAAGTAGACAATATCATCAAAAATGAGTAAGTACCTTACAACTAGCCTAAAATATATTTTATTACAGACAGCTTATTTTGCAGAATACCTCTACATATCTACATATTTACCTACTATTTCCCTTCTTACGACAGGAATCGTACTTACCTACATACTTAAGTTATTCAGAGTGATTACCTATGTTTATTTATAATATTTCGTATATATAATTTATATAATTTTAAAATATAAATAATTTTATAGTTGGAACTGAGATTCAAGTAATGAAAATAATCTAGTGGGTCGCTATTTATACAAAATACTAAAAGAATAACTGTATTTTTTATGAAATTACTGTTTCTTAAGAAACAAAAAAATTATAATTAATTTGAAATTAAGATTTCCCAGGCACACTTTTTTATGTGTACAAAACGGTAATTTCGTATCCATAGACAAATAAATACTTCAATAATTAGAGTATCAATTTGCGACAAACGTAATGATAAAAAAATTAAGTCTGAGTAAGCAAGCGTGCTGCATCACTGTCGATTTGCATTGAATAAAATATGCTGATGATAATATTGATAGTAATACTGAATACTTTGAATATCAAACTTATATTGTTCAATAATTCGGCTTTCCGATGGTCAGGCTGATGGTTGATGTTGAAAATAAAGCTGAGCACTACTGCTACTACTGCTGAAATCACCTATGCATGAAAAAAGAAATAAAAACATAATTATAAAAACGTGAACTAAAAAAAACAAAAACATAACAACGTGGAAAAAAAGCAAAAACATATAGGTAACAACGTGAACAAAAAATCAAAAACATAAAAACGTGGACACAAAAAACAGAAAACAACAACAACAAAAATCATAAAAAGCACAACACGAAGAGATTCTCTCAGATCTTGCGACAGTTGCAGCTTAAAACGTTCAGTAGAAGGCCCATGCAAGTATATTATGAAAACGCTTTGGTGAGAATAAAAGGTAACAATGGTATTCTAACTAGAAGTCTAGAAGTTAAAATGGCATAAGTAATCTATGGCACTGATTAAACTAATGAGTAGTATTTTGCACCTTAAAGAAGGTATCGTATAAACTTGAGGTTTTATTCCCAAGGTAATCTTGCAGGGAAAGCGCGGGGTCTAGGCCAAATGTCATTTTAATGACGTCACAAAACACTACCCCGGTCATCATACCGACTGACGTGTGGTACAACCAATCAGCTAGCTTCTTGTGTTTATGGTCGGCTTCACCGTCCAAAGAGGATATGATTAGGGCCAGGACTCCCGCGCTTGCCTGCGTAAGCAAAAATAATTTATTAGCAAATAAAAAATAAGTAAAAAGATATACATAATACATTATGCTCCAAAATTATAATTACGACATCAAAATTGTGAGCACTTAGTATGTAGTGACTGAATTATTTAGTTAGTGTATCTTGCATGCAACTAACGCAATATGTTAATGAAATATTTTAGAGGTTAAGTAGACCTAAGTAGGTATGTAGGTACATGACTAGAACTGGATCTGAAAATCGTGAAAATACACACAAGGAGTAGCTAGGTAGGTAAAGGTGTTGCAATATACAAAATATCTAATATTCATATTGATTTGATAACATAAAATATTGATTTGATAGTTTTTTGTAACTAACTTTTTTTCTGTTTAACAAGTAGGTACCTACTTAGACAATGAAGCAAAATAAATAAGTACGTACCTAAATAAAATAATAGGTAAATTTTTTCAAAATTAATTTCAAGGTAGATACCTATTGTCGGTTGCAAACTATTTAAGTAGTATTATTTCCTTATTATAATTTCAACAATGTTGATTATTATCCGCATTTTGGCTATATTACTATAATTCTTTATTATTCTGTGAATTAAATAAAACAATGAATACAATTTAATAAAAGACTAAAGACTCGTTTCCGCAGTCGAAAATAAACTAAATCGCTAATGAAATAAGCAAAAAAGACAATAAAAAATAATTATAAAAAAACAAGAATGCTATTTAAAACGTCCATCTCTAGGATAACGTCTCGTGTATATTTCAGAAAGAAATACTGAATGTGACTACTGATTATGTAGATATTTTCGCTTGTTATTGAAATAATTCCCTAAGGACCATAGTAGCAGATAGCACCGAACTATTCTAAATAGACAATTACCTACTAACGTCCAGTAAAATTACCCTTTCGAAGGTATTGGTCATTAATATAATTTAATCTTTCCAAAACTAAGGGATTATTCGAATACTCTATGCCGAAAGCGGAAATGACGATGTTTATAACGGATATGACGAATATAAATATGACAATGACGTCATTGAGTATGACTGCTGACGGTTGATCCTCATGATCGTTCAGGTCCAAGCCCCCGATAATCACGAATAGTAATCCAACGAGAAGCTAAAACAAAAGAGGTTTTTTGTACTGTTTTTGAAATTGCGAAAAAAATGCTCGTGGATTGTTAAATATAATCAAAATTAATTAAAAGGCAATAAATATTAAAACTTATGTTAAAACTCTATTTTAACGTGCCTAAGTATCTACAAGTAAATAAGTACCTATTTCTTTATAAGATTAGGTACCTACTTCCTACTTCTACCAGAACATTTTCAAATTTTGATAAAAGCATCACAAATCTTTCAATCCACGAAGTATTACTGTACTGTAAGTATACCTGACTGAGTACCTAATCATTCCTTTTACTTACACGTAAAGTTTCTGTTTAAAAAAAACAAGCTGAAGGTAAAATCCAGTTGTTTCCGTTCTAAAACCTCGATGTATTATGTACTTAGGTATTATTACGGTAACAAGGCATTGCTCAATAGAAGTGGGTCTTTTGTGAAAATGCCATTTGGATGGACTACCTACTAAACTTGTAAAATTGTTTCATGCGGGTTGAAATCAATGGCATGGTGGTAAGTGGAGGAAAATACAAATGGGAGTTTAGATTCAGAAATTTCGAGCACCATTCTCATCTAGAAATCGATTAAGATCGATAGAAATGCTACACTATATTATTAAACTGACAGAATAGTGCTTACCAACCTTCTGAGATTTCGTAAGTTAATATTATTCTAAGAAAGACTGCTGTAAAAACCAACTGGTAACTACAATATAATTAAAAACTGCCATAAATTCTTGTGCGTGTATCAGGATCAGCCTACGTTATAATCTAAGTCTTGGTATCTAGCAAGTGAGGAGTCGAAGGCAGACACGAGGACGTTTAGTACAGTGACAATAAAGGCTGTGGCGGTGGTCCCATAATTGATGTTCAGGGCGGAGGTCCGATGCCGCGGCCTGTGGAACCAGCAATCTCGCCACAGGTTCAGGGAGAGCAGCACGAACCCCATCGCCACCTAAACACCTGGATACTGCTTGAAAAGTTCGAACGAGAAAAACGACACCTAATCTATTCTGAATGTATTTTTCGTTAAATAGGGCAATGTTTTACTTCATTCTTGCCTGATATGGGGTGTAATCGATGCTGCAGTTGGTATTGTAATACGACCTGCTTATTAGTAAGCTACTCACTCTTTGAAGATATCTATGAAGGTAGTTTTTAAGAATACACCGATTTTTTTTTGAGTTGCACGTATTGCACAAATGTTCCATCCAAGATCCAGGCTTATTGAAGCATCTCAATGAGAAAAATAAAAAATACATTTTCTTTTATTCTCACCTGAAGAACGATAGATATAGAGATGAGGACGACTAGTAGGGTGTAGAACTCGTGCTTGGGACCAACTTGTAGGACGTACTTCAGCTGCGACGCGTTGGATGTCAGCAGAGCAATGTCCAGCATGCCCTGCGCCACCGTCTTCTTCGTCGCATATCTGTTCGCGTCCAACCCTTTGATCTGAAAAAAATATTTAATGGGCAGAGTTGAAATTGTTATTTATTAACACATTAGATGCCGTGTTGGACAATGATGTCCGACGCTAGCGGAGTATTAACCCTTTAACAGTTTATATCGGCAGCTAAAGGCTTAAGCTTAAAAAAGATTTTCGTAGGTAAGTTTTTATTAAGCTTCTTTACGAACTAAATAAATAATTATTCGTGTATCTATCATCCTCGTCCAAAATACCCACCTAAATAGGTACTTAATTTAATTATTTAAGGGTCAAAGTCATGAACTAGTCTACGGCTTAATCTAATAAATAATACGTGATCACATTGAAACTCTACGAGACATTGAACAGGCAGTGGATTATATGTATACAATAGTTTATTGTATATACGGTTTTACGGATACAATCTGAAACTCTAATATTAATCAAATAATTCATGGAAAACTGCTTTTAACCGAAGATAGACATTTGACTGTTACACAGTTTGTACAGTGACTGGCTTGCAATATGTCCCGGGTACGATGCGTAAACGCACCCACGATATAGGAGAAGAAACTAGTGTGGGGCAATGGTTTAGAATAATTCGTAAACAAAATTTAAAAATCGACTAAAAACCACGTCAGGAAGGGAGAAAATATAGAAATATAATTACTTCATCACAAACAATGTCAGTAGGTGCATCCTGTTCTTTAGTCACGATCTCATCACAGTTCTCTCGATCACAGGCAGGGTTCTCTTTGCTGCCCTCTTCCATTTTTTTAAATAAAAAATAACTTAGCACAAACCGATCAATTTTGGAATGCTACTGAGATCGCGTGTCGATGGATACAGACTGCTCGTCGTTACAGCATTGTACGTAAGAAACCGTAGTTCATTCCTCATTTCCTCTACACAAGGTCGATATCAACATTTGATCAATAAGGTACTTAAATCTCCTTAGAAACGCACCCAGCAGCAATAAGTACCTACTAAATAGTTGGTACTTAGGATGCCGATCATCAGTTTGTAATCAATCAGATCGGAAATCGGTAAAGGAAAATCGATTCCTGAATTTCGATTTCTTGAACGAAGTATACGATTGTCTGTTTTTTTTTATGTATTTAATTTCAGTGTGTGTCCTCATTTCAGACTAGGTACTGAATCGATTCTGATGACATTTGTTTCAACTGTAGAATACGTATATTTTGGTAAACACTAATCCAAAAGCCCAATTTCTGCCAGAATTCATAACTTTACGCCGGCGAAGTCGCGGTAACAGCTAGTTTCAGATATTTTAATAATAATTTGGACTAACTCCATTGCATTGGCCTTGAAAAGTGACACTGAAATGAGTCGCTACGTCAAATACAGTTCATTTTCACGGACCACAGCTTTACACGTTTTGTGATCACAAAGGATTGAAGTGAACTCAGGGCGATATGGTTTCAGTTATTTGTCTACATTTATACACATGTACATCTAAATTGTATGCACAAGGATTTTTATTCAATTTTTTCATTGAATGACAGCTCCCGCCTGGGTGAGGCAAGAGGGAGTGTCAGACTTTTACTAACTAAAAACCGGGTGGTTCTTTCTCCTGCGCTTCGAGCCGGAGCCCCGGTAACCCGTTAGGTTCTCATGGAGAAACCTAAATATGACATAACATAATATAACATCACATTCATCCCCAAAGGAATAGGCAGAGGTGCAAATTACGGCATTTAAAGCCACTGCACAAAGTTACACCCACTTTTCACTATTTATGTTATGAGTCTCATGTGAGCCTATTGCCATATACCGGGCACAATTCCAGACTTCGTGATACTACTGAAAATTATTTTAAAAACCCAGTAATACTTTGCCCGATCCTGGAATCGAACCTGAGACTCTTGCCCGGCAGTCGTACTTGCGAACACTCGGCTAACAAGGCAGTCACCTACCACCTCAGTTCCTAAATATGCTAAACCAAAATACGCTGCAGGCATCCTATCAATGTATTCCTTACCGGGCTGTAGTCTCTCTGTATTACATCAATTTTAATTTTCTAACTTGGCTGACTGTCTTTACTTACATTTATCGTACGACACGGTACGACCTATAACTTGATTGTTCTTTACTATTCACGGGACCACAGGCCCCCCCGGTCATTTGGGAGGTGTACGAGGGGCCAAACCCAACTGCACAGAGGCCCTTTAGACAACTTTAATCTGATTATTCTTATTGTTCTGTTGTGTTTTTTTTTCTTTTATTACCTATTATTTGAAATATATAACGCCTTGGTTTTATGACTGTAATGTTATACTACTATAATTGAAATAAATAAATACATTGTAACGCACTAATTCCTCAAATTCCATAAAAATATTCTAGTACACACGTACTGAGTTAATTAATTAAAACAAAGTAGGTAAGGTCGGTAGCCAAAGACCAAACGACCAGCGGAAATGCCTTGTTTCTACTGACTTACGCATCCTTTCTGCAAGGTTGTTCAGCCACAATATTTTATATCAGATATGCCTAATTATATTACTTATAGGTACCTAGTATTAATTAATTGTTTTTAATTAATTGATCCTAGTTTGCAATATAGTATTGCGGCTGCGGTTTCGCTCGAGTGAACTTGTATATGTCACACCAATGATTTAGGTTTCCGACCCCATACTAACATCAAGTTGAATGATTGTATTTGTACCTAGCATTTCTGTTTCAAAATGTATTTATGTAAATCAGTATAGCTCAATACAGGTGAAATAACTTTCAAAATCTACTACTTTTGAGCATTTATGAGCTAATAATACATACCTTATTACACTTAATAATACCTATAAAAACTTTAATAGATAATTCGTAAAATAAGTCTATGATGCATCATGCAACACGCAAGTACAAAAACACGAAGACAACAGTGCGTTCATAAATAAATAATGAAAATCTCACCCCATTTCGCAATCCAGTAGGCAGAATGGCCGCCATTTTTATTTAATTATCTGTTGATGAAACACTATCATAGTACACAAATAAATTTGAAAAACGAACACTACAATGCAAAATATTCCGATTTTTTTCCGAGCTGTGGAAGTCACCACGGTCAGCCAAAGAATAAATAAAATCGATGGCGTTACCTGACGACGGATGGTACAACAACAATTGACTATAGTTTCAGTAACAATGACGTACCTATGTACTTGGAAATTGAAAGTCTGCTGACAATACGATTTAGTTTTGAAGGTCTAATTTACGTACTACGTGTTTACGATACGTTGTCGAAATGAAACATAAAACAGGCGTTAATGACCACGCAACGTGTAGCTGTTACGGTTACTTTACTGTAATCCTTTCGTAGTAATTACTTAGGTAATAACCAACTCAATATTATCTAAATTACTTAACACATAGGTCAACAACTTATTTAGGCGAACGTAGTTTTGTTTCACGATTTTAAATAGGTACATAATTAGGTACTTATTGTATGTAGATACGTAGTGTGTCGTGGTGGCCCGGAGATTTAAGAGGCCCACTTCTCGTGCATGAGGATGGGGGTTCGAAACCTACAAACGGCAAGTACCAATGTGACTTTTTCCGAGTTATATGTACTTTCTAAGATTATCTAGACGCCATTGATAAACGGTGAAGGAAAACATCGTGCGGAAACCTGGGCTTATAATTTCTAGTTATAAGTTTGTAATTGCCAACCCGCATTGAGCAAGCGTAGTGATTAATGCTCAAACCTTCTCCGTGTGAGAAGAGGCTTTGCTCAGCAGTGGGCATTTATAGGCTGTTGATGACATAATTAGGTACTTAATTACGTATTTTGTGGAGTTTTATTGAGCACATTTTCCATGTTGTGAAACTATTACCAATTTCCCAGCCAGTCAGGTATCTATCACTACTCTCGATCTAGATCTGATATCAATCTATGTGAGGAGTATCCTACTTTCCTTGGTAGTTGCGATATTATTAATTCAATCCCAACCTTTTTGTTGAATAATTAATTAAAGCCTGACTTGGGAACCACCACAGCTGACTGATTGCTAGTACTTAGACGATGTAAGTTAGTTGACTTATTTTATGTGGTAAGCCGGTAAACGAGCAGACGGATCACCTGATGGTAAGCAATCGGCGTCGCCCATGAACACCTGGAACAACAGAGGCGTTACAAGTGCGTTACCGGCCTTTTGCGGATTAGGAATTTTGGGGATTCAGGGATTGGGGAGATTGGGGATTTAGGGATTGGGAAAATTGGGGAAGGGGGTGTCTTTGGGCCTCCGGTAACCTCACTCACATGACGAAGCATAAGCGTCGTTTCACGTTAGTTTTCTGTGAGGCCGTGGTATCACTTCAGCCGTGTCGACTCATTCGTACCGAAGCATGGCTCCCGCACAATTTAAAAATGTTGGATTTAGAGTGCATGAAAAAAGCAGGTAGAGCCTGTAGAGCGGCCTCCTCTAAGCTTTTACTTAAGACTTAGCTATGTGATATCAAAGCCTCTGCGAAGCGTAGGGGCCTAATTAAAAAATTAAAAAATAAAAAAGCCTTTATTTGACCTTGCTACATTTCGCCTTTCTTTCTGTAATACACTTACTAATTGGTAGGTATACATATATTTTTTTAAATTTATCTTTATTATTATATACTCCTATTTATTAACTCATTTAGGTATACAAATTTATAAATATTGTTATACATCGTTAAGCGAGGTCCCCAGGTAGGGTAAAGGCCTCCTCCAATGAATTCCATTTGTCCCTGTCCTGTGCTAGTAGCCACCAGTTTAGGCCTGCGATTTTTTTAATATCGTCAACCCATCGAGTAGAGGTTCTACCTCTCTTTCGCTTTCCTAGTGGGCCTCTCCATCTGGTGGTATTATATGTCTATCTTTCGTCGTGTTGCGCCTTGCGACGTGGCCAGCCCATCTCCATTTTGGTTTTAATGCGAAGCTCAAAGCATCAGCGGCTTTTGTTCTTGCTCTTATTTTTGTGTGGCTGCTGCCATTATTCCCACGCTTTAATAATAAGGGGCATTACTGATTTGCTCATCATTGGAGATTTTTTGACTCATGATGATATTATAGCTACTGGCTTTCCACCCGCGGATTTGAGCGTAGTCAAACGCAAAAGTCAAAAGTACCTCGTACGTACTATTTAAGGAGGAGGCAGGACGCGTGAGGCAGCGAAGCGCTGCCTCCTCGCAACCCAGCCATCGCGAAGGACACACCGGGCGTCGGGGATCGCGAGACGATCTCCGGCCACCGTAAGCGCAGGCCTGCGGACGGCGAGCATGGGTGGCTCCCCGTCCGACCAGAAACAGACCCGAGCGTACGGCGCGTCGCGTTTCGCGCGCGCCTCAAAGAGCCATCAGATCACCACAGATGGGGCCCAATAGGGCCGATGCCGATGCGGAGTCGCGGAGAACCTGACGGATAACCGGGGCTCCGGCTCGACGTGCAGAAGAAGGAACGGGGTGGTTTTTAGTCAGTAAGAGTCTGACACTAAAGGCGGGAGCAGTCATTCGATGATTTTCCCCCTTAAAAAACCGTACTATATTTCGTATTGGGTCAACTCATTAGGTCTTGAGGCTGGAGATAATTATGTGATACATTAATACTTACCCAATTAGCTAACCCGAAAAACCATAACCTACCATAATAACCGTAAAAGAAAGATATACGCAGAAACACATTCCCTTTATCTATATTAGGTAAAACTTTCGTGAGACGCATCATAACATAGCATCACGCCTTTTATTCCCGAAGGGCTAGGTAGGGGTGCACATTATGCCACTGTACAATGTAACACCCACTTTTCACTATTTATGTTATGAGTTCCATGTAATAGGGGGTGAGTGAGTTTCGTGACACATAATAATTATTATAACTGTTTGACGAGGAACTTGACTAGTTTCAAGCCATGCTAGAGGCTCATGTTGTCATGTCAATTGTCATGCACACTTTCGTAATTATACCTATTATTAAGAGAATTAAAAATCGCGAGTGGGTGCATGCGATTTAGGAACGCAAAAAAGAATTTTTTTTAAGGGGAGAAAATTATCTACCTAACGACTTCTCCCGCCTGGGTGAGGCGGGAGGGAGTGTCAGACTCTAACTGACTAAAGACCACTCCGTTCCTACTCCTGCACGTCGAGCCGGAGCCCCGGTTACCCGATAAGTTCTTCTCGGCTCCGTATCGGCATCAGCCCTATTGGGCCCCATCCGTGGTGGTCTTTGAGGCCCGCGCGGAACGCGACGCGCCGTACGCTCGGGGCAAAAAATTGTATATAGGCTCAAATTGTACTCAGTACTGGTTCATTATCATCATCATCATTACCAGCCTGTAACTGTCCCTGTCCCACAGCTGAGACGGAAGAAAGGCCTCATCTCAATAAAAAAGGAATGATCGATTATCGCTACGCTTTCTCGTATCTAGGTAGGTACCTACCCAGAGCCGTCTTAGACACATAAATAACTTGGGCACATAATAACTCGGGGCCCTTGTGGAATATTTCTTTGTTTAACCTTGCCCAACACTAGGATTTTGTCCTATATCGTGGGTGCGTTTACACACATACAAGTTCACATACACATGACACCCAGACCCGAAACAACAATTTGTGGAGCACACAAATATTTGTGACAGCTACAAGTTCCGGGACAGTCGGTTGCCGTGCAACGTGTAGTGGGTGTGTTGGCTTGTCGGTCGTTCGGGGCCCCTGAGGATGGGGGGCCTGGGCACGGGCCCCGAGTGCCCTTATGGTAAAGACGGTAGTGACCTAGCTATCAATATTACAAATAAGTGCCTATATTTAATTTGTAGATATTTTATGTAGAATGCCCTTAATTTGACTCGATTCGTTCTCCAATCGAAATAGGAATTTTGTATTTTTATTTTGTTTGTTTTTCCTTTTTAAATAAGTAGTTAAAATATTTCACATCACACCTTTTTATCCCCGAAGGAGTAGCCAGAGGTGCACATTAGGGCACTTAATGCCACTGTACAATGCACTTGCCACTATTTATGTTATGAGTCCCATGTAGTAAGGGGGAGCCTTTTGCTATATACTGGGCACGAATCCAGACTCCGTGCGTCTACTGAGATTTTTTTTAAAAAGCCCTGTAATATTTTGCGCTACCCGGGAACCAAACCCGATACCGCTTGCTTGGCAGTCGCGCTTGCGACCACTCGGCCAACGAGGCAGATAAACTAGTTATAGTTACCTATACCTTGGTACAACAACAAGGCAGATTACAACTACAAGGCACTTGCCTAATTATTTTTTTATCCTCAATATTCGTGAAAGTCCATTCCAAGCAGGCCTAAACCTAATAGACGTCGCGGAGAACTTAACGGGTTACCTGAACTCCGGCTCGAAGCGCAGGAGAAGGAATGGGGTGGTTTTTAGTCAGTAAGAGTCCGACACTCCCTCCCGCCTCACCCAGGCGGGAGCAGTCAATGATGATTTTACCCCCCTTATAAAAATATAGTAGGTAGTCATAATCTCATCGCAGATGGGTTAGAAGTTGCAGTCTCTAAGGTTTAAACCTTATAGACTACAATACAATTTGTGATTATGTTTTATCGATTCTTACGAGAAAGAGATCCATGGGAATAATACTCCGGGGTGGTAATAAAATATATAGTACCTATATTCCACTCCACGCAAAAATACACCTGTCTAGCTAGGTACATTTGAATTTAAGTAACGGAACCTGAAGCTTAATTTCTACTAGCCACTTACGAATTCTTAATATTAAGAAATTTAAATTTTACTATTCGAAGTGTCGAAACTTGTTTTTGCTAGAATTTTGATCAAATCAGGTTTGACTGCCTTTGACCTAAATACTCTTAGGCACTAAAATAATCAAACATCTAAAAATAAACCAAATAAAAAATATGAAAAGATTGTGATGGACTTCAGGACGATTTTTCCTTTCTGTTTTTGTCTAGGGTTTTTGTACAATAAATCTCAAAAATAATAGTTAAATTCAGGAATTATCTATACCTACCTAATACCCAAATTAATTATGAAATAGTAAAAAAAATCCGCTATAAAACATTAAAAAAAGAAAAGTTTTCTGACGGGCAACCAACTAAAGTGCGAAAGATTAAAACGACCACCTTTAAACTTTTTTCTAATGAACTACGTTTCCATTTACCAACAAAAT